TGCCTTTAAGGCAGGATCCGGGCAAAATTTCGAATGGAATTTGTTCGCTTACCTGGGTGACGCGAAGAGAATTTTAGCTTCCAATTCTTTTTCGCTCGCTGCTTCATTATGGGGTATCTCCATCCAATTCACTGTTCCATAATTGAACGGCAAGATACTCTGTTGATTTTTTGGTCATATCGAGAAACATCGCACGCATGCAACTTTGTGCTTCCTGCGCTTTTGATTGCCCCCTGTGCCCGCGAGCATGGCACTTTTTTGTGTCTGCTTCTCATGACGATCGCTGAATAAGGCGAAATAGATAAAACTGACGTTCTCACTCGTTTGTCGAAGATATATGATCATGTTGAAGGCTGCGGGAAGCAGAGGAGTGCTTTAGAAAAAAAAACAGCGTTATATAGTTTTAGTCATAGAGATGTCATGATTAGTATGACTAATGTGTTTTAGGGGCGTCAATACAGGAGCCATTGCTAGTCGACCTGCTGCTGACACTGGTCTCACTGCTCCAGCTCCCATCAATCCTGTATGTTTTGTTCATCAGTAGGAACAAGCTCTTGATTTGTTGTCATTCATTCTTGCTCTTTAGGAAGAGTTCGAGAAGCTTTCTGAAGAAGATCAGATTGCGCATATAAAGGATGTTTCGACAGCAAAGTACCACTCTAGCAAGTAAGTTCGTTCATCATCGCGTAAATGTATTTGGATTCGAATGAGAAAATTATTCTGACGATAATTTCAAAAATCTTCTGCTGCAAAATTTTTCCTTTCAGTTTCCAAAAGAAAACCACGAATATCATGTCCGGACCACCACCGCCAACGTACACGTGCAATCGTTGCAATCAACCTGGACACTGGTACAAGAACTGCCCAATGGTAATCATGCACAACTCGCGGAAGCATTTTCCCGTTATCCGGTAGCGGCTGGGTTTGCTTTCTGCTCCTTATTTGGAGCGATTATTACAAAGTCTAGGGTTTATAGAGTTACGGTTGCAGTCGTCGGGTATGTTCAGATCCGTTGAACGCGTCCGCTTTTGTTTACAACTCTTTTTTTTACTTCCTCATGTATATATGATT